GGATCTTCGTTGCTTTAAATAATTCAATCTTGAATTACTAAAATATATACTAATAGGCATTTAAATTTCTAGTATATATATACATATATAATTATATAAATATAAATATTTTTGATAAAATTATATATAATTATTTAATGCGAGTATACACTACTAATCATAATTATTTAAACAGATATTTTATATTTTATTCCGATTTTAAAAACTAAGTATTCTATACATTATACATACACCGTTGTTAATATAGAAAATACTTTATTAGAATAATTGATATTATTTTTACTGTATATTGGTTGTAATATTGTACATATTGTAAATTTAAATTATTGACAATGTTCACTGAATTATCTCCAACTATCCTTAATTCGATACAGTATATTTTCTAAAATAAAAGTGATTCATTATTAGAAAAAAATGTTGAGAAATACCTAATTACAGATAATATATGTACATACAACAAAAACAGCGTCAATTACTAAGTATGGAATATTAAGTTACGAGTGTAACTCTAATTATCTGTGTCAACAACAGTATGAGGTACTTGTTTAGCTTTTAAAATTGGACTGAAATGTAAAATATGTCGTTCAAATGATTATAAATAACAGTATATATTTATACATAATTAACACGTTGACTGCAATATTGGTTATTTATGATCAGTGTTTTTTTTTAATTTTTTTAAATGCTTACAGAAAATAAATATCATTTAATGTAAAATTTTAAATAACAGCTAGCTAAATTAACAACGTAAAAATAAATAATATTAGATATAAAATTTTATTTAATTATATTACATAATCATATATATTATTTTATCATTACACTTACGAAAAACGAAATTTGATCATAATATATAAAGGTAGATATAAAAATTACAGTAACGTGTTAATATATTTGTAATTATATAACATTACATAATATATATTAATATGTATTTTATACATATAACTTTATATACGTATATATGTATGCGTATAATGCATATGCAACATACTCTTTCCTTGTTGGAATGAATGGCAGCGGTTTTCACGAGTCATCGATATAAGCTGTTTGTGTTGTACGGGTTGTACGCTAACAAGAATCTTCGAATCAATGGAGACAAAATAATGCTTCCCGTTTCATATAGGTTTCCCATCATGTTCAAAACGGAGAACGTCAGATCAGAGGACGCATCGTTGGATTACCATTCAAACGGTTCACAAATTCTAGCTATGTATAATGCTACATATTTATTTAACGAAAACTCTGGCCTCGAGTAGGAACATTGTCATTATTGATTTTCCCTGTCCTAAACTTATTCTCGCCTACGCTTGTGCCACGCGACTTCGTTTCTCAATTTATTCCTCGCCTCATAACGGAGACCTGGAATGCACTTATCCGTTCACAGATCACGTATCATCTCCAAACTAAACATTAGTTCACGAATATTTCCGTAACAAATCTATTTCGATTGCTTTTCTGGTGATGCTGATCCATCCTGATGTGAGATCGAGTCATGCCCTGATTCGTTCCGAGAATTTTTATTGGAACGGACTGCAACGAATCGAGATAAATTCTTACGCAATATGAAATTCAATGTGCGTCTTGTGCTTTCGGTTAATTATTGTTGATAATACGGACCGACGCGAAGCGGTTTTAACTCGTAATGCGGACCGACACGAAGCGGTTTCAACTCGCAATCAAGAGGATGAGGGTGGTTCCAAGAAAGAACAATCTGAAAGATCAATTCTCTAAATGATAGGCGTTTATTTTGTTCCTAAACGTATGGATACGTAAATCATTCCTCGTGCCGTGCACGAGGGAGTAACAATGATAACCAGAGATTAACAGGCTGTAATCCACGATAGAGCTTATCGCCTTAATTCGTGTGTCGGTCCTCCCTCCTTAAATAATTATGTACACGAGTTTTGCATTAGTCGCCTGCGAAACGCGGCTGATTTCCGCATTTTGCGGAAAACGGCTGATGTATAAATAGTCGCGGATGATGCATCGTTCATGGCGGGCAACACGTCGCGCATACAATTTTCGTTACTATAAGGACACAACAATATCATTGACTAACATGCATCATCTGCACGCGCTAAGAAATCGTCAAACTTGTATACGTGTATGAATTTGTGTAACGTTCGCGCAGGAGATTAAAAGAAAAATTGAAAGGCGCAATATTATAACTGTGGAAAAATTTTCGATCGAAAGAAAGCATTGAACTGGCCAAACAATATATTCTTGTTTAACTTTTAATGCTCTCGGTCTTTCTTTTAAACCCAGTGCAAATCCATTATACAGATATCATACGTATACAAGTCTCGCATTACTATATTAAATTGTTTGCATCATTTACAAACTATAATGCTATAACTTACTGCAGGTAGTAAACAAATCCATTATACAGATATCATACGTATACAAGTCTCGCGTTACTATATTAAATTGTTTGCATCATTTACAAACTATAATGCTATAACTTACTGCAGGTAGTAACTAATGGACAGATACAATTGCAATTACCTCTTCGGTTTCCAAACTATACATGACTCGCATTTATATCTACAACAGTATTCAACCAACGGTTTTTCATGTGTGGGTTTACTGGCGTGTACAATCTGGCAACTTTTCAGAGAAAGCTTCTCTTTTTCCTCTTTCTCTCTTTGTTTAGCTTGACAAATGCAGGTTCTACACTCGCGCATTTTTAAGAAGAAAACTGTTACAAGAGTTAGTCGGATATAAATTCAGTTATGTAAATTCCAGGACTAGACAAGAGGTACACGTGTTAGAGAAAAGAAAAACGTCTTTGATATGTTGTTCAAAAAACAATGAACTTCTGTTTTCTCAAATGCATTTTGTCCAGTCCTGGTAGTGGTTTCTAATATCGATTATTGGGTAACTTGTTGGATCAGTGTGTTCAGTATAACATTATTAACGCATTCCTTGCGGATGATTAGCGATAACATAGCGGAATCACGTCGCGCGGATCTCTCTACGAAGGTTGAACCATAAATAAAAGTCTCTTATTGATTTTACGAAAGAGATGTCAGTGGAAAAAAGAAAGCCAGCTTCGGCACAAAGTCAAGGAAGGGTGGCTCGTTTTTTCTTTTTTTTTTTAATACTTGTGGAAGTGTGTAATGCTGAGTGAGTGTCGCACGTGCTAGTCAATGCCACATTACTCGTCCAATGGTTTTTTAGTAGCTGAAACAGATCCACAGTAGGTGGGTAACACAGGTAAACAAACACACACGATTGCTCAGTCACACTCGTGCCAGAATCCGAAGCTTGATACTAACCGATAGTAATTAGGCTTGAATGGACCCGCTTTATTAAGACCCATGTATTTTGCTTGTTCATCCGTCAATTCCGTCAGATGTGCGTCGAAAGTGGGTAAATGTAATGACGCTACATATTCATCTACAAATCAACATTACGATGTCATACTTTTATTGTCTTACGATATACTTGACAAAAAAATTAAGTAAAAAATTAAATATCTTAAAAAATTCTTAATAAAAAAATTAAATATCTTAAAAAGTTCTAAATAAGGAAAAGAATAATATAAAATCAAAGTCATAATTATTTTAATTATTTCAAATTAATTAATTATTTTAATGAATAAAAATTGCTTTGAGACAATGAATCTTCATTTTTCGCTTAACGTATACGACGTAAAAAAACTGTTGCATTTTAGCATCTATAGGTATACTTACCCATTTTCTTCGGCAGCAAATAAACGTCGCTCTTGTATCGTCCTGGTGGCGCGTTAAATAGTTCGATGAGGGCTAACGCTTGTGTAGCGGCAGTAATCGACACCACAAAGGATGGAATACTCGAGCATGACAGATTCACTAAACGACCTTCTGCCAGCAGAACGATGCGCTTACCGTCCGGCCAAATAACATGGTCCACTTGCGATCTGACTTTCTCCCAAGTCAAATCGGGCGTGCGTAAACTGTTCTATTAAAAATAATATTTAAGGAGATTTAATCCTCAGTCTTCCTTCGCGCAAATCATATCAAATCAATCGCTCGCGAATTGGATTGCTATAATTGTCCGTCGCGTAATCGCACGCCGCGCGGGTAAAGAAGATAAATTGGGACATACGACGTCTATCTCCGTGTTGCTATGGCCCATGTTGCACACGACGCATCCGTTCTTCATCTTGTCCATGTGCTCGCGCGTGACCACATTTTTATTGCCCGTCGCTGTAATAACAATGTCTACATTTCGAATGACTTCATTGAGCTTCATCACTCTGAAGCCGTCCATGCTGTAATGCGACAACACATATGTATAGGATTTCTATCCGATTCAGCGGACGATCTGGTTGTGGAAATTAATCGCTCGGCAAGCGCGCCTTACCTGGCTTGCAAAGCGCATATGGGATCAATCTCGGTGATATACACGATGCAGCCTAAGCCTTTGAGAGCTTGACAGCATCCCTTCCCGACTTCTCCATAACCGCATATTACTACTTGCTTCCCTCCAAACATGATGTCAGTGGATCTTTTCAAACTATAAGCAATAAATTCGATAAGTGCTGAAAACTAACAAGCATCAGATTAAGCCCATTCGAGATCTCCTTAATAAGGCGATATATGTAAACTCACCTATCAATGATGCTCTCGCGGCAACTATAGAGATTATCGAATTTCGTTTTAGTCACACTATCATTCACATTCATCGCGGGAACAGACAATTTTCCTGCTTTTGACAACTGATATAATCTATGTACACCTGTGACGCTCTCCTCGACAATTCCTAAAAGAACATATTTCTAATATTTTACTCATCCATAAATTAGACATCAAGAAAATTATTTATGGTCGAGAGAATATTAATTTTTGCTAATCATTACTGCTATTAAATTATGACTTTCTGATGTCAAGAATCTTCTCTAACGTCTTCACAAGCTACAATAAATTGTAATGTTAACACTAGGCAACATGGAACAGGATAAACCTTGGATCATTTTGAACATGGCGTTGTATTTCTTGAGCATCAAGTGAGTAGCATCACCGCCGTCGTCCAATATCATATTAGGCTGCCAATTTTCAGCAGCCACGCATTTATCGATGCACCACCAGAAATCCTCCTCAGTTTCGCCACGCCACGCAAACACCGGGTATCCGGCGTACGCTAACGCCGCGGCTACCTCGTTCTGTGTGGAATAAATGTTGCATGCAGCCCATCGCACTTGCGCGCCGAGTTCCACCAGTGTTTCAATCAGAACGGCGGTCTGCGCGTTGATATGAGTGCATCCCACAATCTTGGCGTTTTTTAACGGCTATGTAAAGATATTAGTCAGATTTTTTTTCTCTTTCTCTCGCAATCGAACGAGAATTTATCTAAAAACTGAATTTTTATTTTCCTTAAAAAGTATCCGAGCGTTAACGATCTTTGTTGTTATCAAAGAGAAAGCGATGCTTTGAGAGGTATACCTTGTCGTCCCCCGCGCGTTTCCGCAATGCCATGATTCCCGGCATCTCCTGCTCGGCGATCTCGATCTCTCTGCGGCCGAAGGCTTGCTGATTGATGTTACGCACGCAAAAATCCGTGAAGCCCTTCTCTGTCTTCTGGATCTTCTCGCGCGGTGAGACGTCATCCTCGTCGGATGAGCTTCCTGTATAAGAGGCTAAGATAGCGCCAGGTGCCGAAAAACGTCGATTATTAGTACCACATTGAGGTGCAGATGCAGATTATCCTACGGAGCGACTAATGCAATTGCTAAATCCGTGTTATTAGGACGATTGCTAATTCTAAACAATTATAATGATAAAATCCATGAGCGATACATATGTAACACTTTAAACGTTAGTGCTTGTGATTAAAGTACAAACTGATGTTAGAAGAGGATAGTATGATATTAATACAGAAGTAAGCTACAAAATGTTTCTTCCTTTGACAAGCAAAACACAGAATTCTACAATTATAATATTTTGCTACATGTCTAGATCATTCGTACCAGAACTGTAACTGTCGGTGCTGCTAGCTGACAAGGAGCGGCTCCGGTAGCGACTGGACTTCTTCAATGCTCCAGACTTGGAGTCCTAGAAATTGAAAAGTACAGTCAGGTTCAATAGGTCACGAACGAGTTTCTCTTTTCTAAGGGGCTGCGAAATGCATTGAGAGAAATTACAAACTGAAAGAGTGCGCATGAAGCTAGTTTGTTGTGCTGAATGTACACAGATCAATACGGACGATTAATCTGTTAAACAAATATTACTTTATCTCTTCACGTCATTATGCATGATAAAATTTCAACAATGTCTCAAGTAGGACTATTTGCTCTCTTGGAGTGAAAAATAACGATAAGACAAGATGTGAGAATCTCTAATTACATTTGCTAATCGTCCCATTAGTCTGTGTTATCTAATCGATAAGCGAGAACGGCAAATCTGATCAGCACACACATTTATATGGCGGAAAAGTTAAGGCAGCCCTGCAAGGAAATAGCAAGGATCATTCTATGGCATTGGGAGTACAGATTTACTGTGTTTTTTATACACATATATATTCTTACTTACTAATTTTGTTCTCGCGCCGTGAAAGGCATTATTTGATGCCTCTAGGCTCTGAAATCACAACAACCACCATTTCATCATTCAAATGCATCAAAGTGTCCGCAATACAGTCCGTAGTTTGGTACAAAGCTCCCAAAGGTTTTCATACTTGTGCGTAATAGATATTTTTACGACAGCACTCAATTCTTCGCACTTTATTTCCGTATCTTGCACAATTCTTTTATATCGAGTAAAACGATTTCAAATCACAAATCAGCATAATGATTAATCATTATGAGATAGAAATTATAAAGTACTCTATGAATGTACAGAGTGATTTAAAAGATTACTATCAAAGTTAAGAAACATATAGAAGAGTTGAAATAAAACAACTTTCACATACAAACCCATGTTATCTAAAATAATCTTGAGTCTATAAACCTGTTCTTTTAAACTGAACTTCTTGCACAGTTCATATTTCTTTCTTTTCTTTCTACGAAAAAAAAACAGGAAAGATGAACTGAGCAAGAAGTTCAACTTATCTCTCATCTAATATAGTCTTTGAACGTAGAAGACTCTGATAACGCATCAATGAAATAATCGTTGGAACATTGTTCTATTTCGATCTCTCTGTACGCTCCTTAATTTTGACAATAAACTTTTGAATCATTCTTATAGAGGATTAGGTAAAACATTTGTTTCTAAATTCTTTCCATTTACAATTTTGTACATCGGATCAGCTGGAACATACTCAGACAATTTGAACAATTAGAAGTCGTTTCATGAATTACGTATGCTATCACCATTAATTATCCATGGATTATTTTGTTTGCACTCGATACAATTCACGTGGTGCTAATAGTGCCACGCCTAAATGGTGTATCTAGGCTTACGAGCGATGCATGAGTGATTGGTACCGAACCTACGGACTACTGTGTGAATAATGCTCTATATGTGTAAAATAATATAAGCACTGTAAATGCCAAGTCATGGGCACTATCCGTAACCGCATGCATTCACTTCTCAAGAGTTGCTCTTTCTCTCTATATATTTCTTCGATTAGTGGAAAAGGTAATAACGATCTGTTACATGTGCCTGGAACAACTGTTAAAGATATTTTGCCTAGAGAAAGAGAACATAGAGTGTTATTATGGTGCATTAAGATTGAGTAACGCTAAACAGGTTCGATCATGTTCTTGTAGATTAAGCAAGCTTCTGTTAGATCATTGTTTATTTTTGTCCTAGGTAAAATAAATAAATCTTAAGTTACTCAACCCAATAATTTATTAAATAAATAAAAATTAAAAAAATGTGAAAAGGAACAAGAGGAAACTTCTTTCAATCACAGCTGCCAAGTGTCCCGGATAGGCAAATATAGACAGCTCTTAACCAACGCCCATTCATTAATGAACGAGATGACAATTAATGCCATGTGTCCAATTACGTAAGAGCCACATGTGGTCACAAGACTTCAAAGGGTTGGGCGAGACGAAAGAAATACAGGTGAGGAGCTGGTAATGAGAATGACAGAGACGGACAAGGGTAGAAGAAAAAGGGGAGAGACACGCAGGGAGAGAGAGAGAGAGAAAGAGAAAGAAAGAGAGAGACAGAATTAAAGAAAAATACGAAAAAACCAACGTAAATAAGACAGAGAAAAAGAGACGAACGTCGAAACTTTTCATTTCTGCAAGGCAGGCGATACTCAATGCAGAAAGTAATTGTCGACGACGATGTTAAAAGCGCGTTCTGGCCTCGTTCACCGATCGACTCTGTCATAAGAACGGCGGCAAATACGACAGTTGTGGCCTACAGCTGTCAAATTGACGCGAACGTCGCTCGGAGCGTGCGGGACGGTAGAAGATTTTAAGTTAGATTGAAGCCTGGCTAGATTTACCTTCATACTGGACGCTGGATCGGTGACCGGGCCATCGGAAAGCGTGCCTCTTGCTTCTTTCCCGGACGACGTGCTGTTCATACCATCCCCGCTGTCGGCCATTTTTCGAATGCAAGGCACACGCGCGACATCACCCGAATCGGCCGCCAGGCGGCACTCCGTGAAGCCGCGCGCGGTTCAGACTCGTAGCTACGTTCACGGTGCCCCCGCGTCTCAACCTGTGCGTCGCTGCGGTCAATATTTTAGGCTACTTCGACTAAATTCGGTTTTACGATTAAGAATGTATTACATTCATCTTTTTAACGAAAAAATTATGTAAAGACGATAGATTTTTCTACATTGAAAAATAATTAGAAAAGTGTTACTTAAACTGTAAAATTGTTAAATATATAAACATTGACTTTTAATATTAAATATTGACTTTAATAAAGAAATTTATTAACTTAGTATATATATATATATATATATA